TAAAATTTAAAAATCAGACTTCTTATAAGTTTTTAAAAATAATTGTTTTGTATTTTACTATGATTGTCTTGCAGTTAAAAAATTAATAATTATTTGTTTACTATAGATTAAAATATTAAATAATAATTTTAGTTAAAAATATATTTTTACTTGTAAATGAGCTTTTCCTAAATTTTATATTCAAAGAAAATTAGTTTTAGAATATATATATATATATAGTAATTAATATATTATATCATATCTTAGTTCTGTATTAATTATGTTTTGCAGTTAAATGTTCTGGATTAATAATTAACACATGTGGTTGGGTAAAAGGCAAAGGTTACCAGCATTTGACTCACATTGCACTAGCTTTTGAAGTTGATGTTATTCTTGTACTCGATCAAGAACGATTATACAATGAACTAGTGAGAGATATGCCTGTATTTGTTAAAGTTATTCTTTTACCAAAAAGTGGTGGAGTAAGTATAACCATTAAATTTATTACTATGTTATATTACATCTTATTGGTTAATGTGTGTACCTCTATAATAGGCTGCAAAATGATATAAATAGCTCTGCCTCATATGTGTTAKTTAACTTTTAAAGAAATTTACTTTTTTTWAAAGTATTTWACATTATATTTCCAAAATATCTGTTTTCTTTGAAAGATTTGAATTTGTTTGTGACCCACATTATTATCAACGGAAATATCAGCAATTTTATTTTATAATTTTACAGTAAATTCCAAATAATTGAGATTAAAATGTTGGTTTTTAACATTTGTAGATTGCCTTTATATGCCTTAAGTTTTGGTGATCAAATCTGCTAATATAATTTGTCTTGTAAAGTAAAAAATAATAGATTATAAATCTAACCCACCATAGTCAGAATAAGACCATTTTTATTTGTGATTGCGGTGAAACTTTTCTAATAAGGATATTTTTTAACAGAAACTTATGAAAAAAAGAAGTGAACTATTATTTTTTGTCCTGACATACAATATATAAATATTTACTTCTGTCAAACTAAAACAATTAAAGTGAATTTTTTTGTATGTCTCAATAAATTCTATACTTGACAAGCTTTAATTATTTTAAGGGTGTATTAAGTGAAAATTCATATGTACTATAACAATTACACATAACATATATATACTATATACAACACTCTTAAGTGCATGGTTAAAACAGATTTTATAAAAGTTCTTTATTGTCATACCAATCACAAATAAAGTAACAATTAAATTAAACATTTTATACCAACAGTAATTACTATTTTTTATTTTTTTATTCTAAATAAAAATTAATTTATTGTAATCATCAATTTGTTATAAAATTTGATTTAATAATATATTGACTTTGTATTTAAGATTTTGGTGTATTACATGTGTACATAGTAAAATGAATTTATGATGTAGTATTATATATTGATTTATTTTATAATTAGGTAGTTGAAAGGAGTGTTAAGTTTAGATTGGAAGGAAGAGAGGCACGTATTCGAGAATACTTTTATGGTAGTCCTAAGAATGTACTACATCCACACACCTGTGAAGTAAGGTTTTCTGACATAAAAGTGTATAGAATTGGAGCGCCACCTATTCCAAATACATTGATGCCATTAGACATGCAAAAAACTGATTTAGAGACAAAACTTGAACCTGTTACTCCTGGTAAATATCAAAATTATTTAGTGCATTGCATATAATATTATTTAATAGGAATAATTTTCCATAAAACATTTTTTTTTAATATTTCAACAAATTTTTCAGGGCCAAATATGATGCACCACGTGTTAGCTTTGAGTTTTAGTACAATGGTAGAAGAAGACGTTGTTAGGACTAGTGTTGCTGGTTTTGTTTGTGTGTAAGTATTGTTTARAAACATTCAACATATTACAACATTTTGATCTCCAACCATTTTAATTCATTTTTTTTTATTTCTCTAGAACAAATGTTGAYACCTCACGACAAATGTTAACTCTATTGTCACCTCAACCAAAACCTCTGCCTGAAACAATTTACCTCATGTCAGATGTACAGTTCATGGACAACAATGCTTGAAGCTATGTGATTGAATTGAGCTGAAAAAATATTTTGTGTGTTAATATAGATACTGTTAATAATTATTTTTTTAATACATTATATATTTTTCTTTGACTAAGAATAATCAATAAATCTCAGTGTRTGTAATATAATTATATTTATGTTAGATGTAATTCACATACTGAAGTTTAATATTTTATTAATATTAAAAGGACTTATTTATAAATAATATGGATAATTGCACTTGTCATTAGTGTAATTACCTATTTTCTGAGATAAATTTTGGTAACCTACAAGTACCCACGCTAATGTGGAAAAATACTATTTTTAATTATTTCAAGTAATATAATATTATTGTTGTCATTAATAAATGATGTAAATCCATAAAATAAGTTTACTTATTTTTCCTACTATTTATATTTAATTGAGCGATAAAATTGTTTGTGAATTTATTTTTGAAGTAAACTGTAATATTTGATTATTACTGTAATAAATTKACAATGTTTCTTAGAAATTATCTATTTTAATGTTTTTAAATAGGACATTAATTAGTTAAACATTTTTATTTTTTTTTAAACGTTTTTATTTTTTATTTGAGTTAGTTTACTTTCTTATTAGTATAATATAATAACTAAGTTAAAGAATATAATGTGGAATACACCTAGACTTTTCCAGCAGTTCTGTCTGAAGCTTACGTAAAACATAGATAAAACTAATTTACATTGGATTGTTCTTTATGATTTTATTGTAATCTTAGAGTAAAATAATTAATCACAAACATTATAGAAGATAATATTTTTTAAGGTTTGACTTGTTGATATGTATTTAAATGGATTTTRTGTATAAGTTAATGTATAAGAGAATAATAATAAATTKATATAAATCGAATAAATCAATAGCCAATAGGTTATTTCCTCAAAAATACTCTAGATAATGCATAAAGAAGATGTTGCACCCAGACGGGTTGTCTCCATGACTCCGTCTTACACATGTACTACATGGYACATTTTCATTCACTAGATTCAATAGTGTGCTGTTAGTTTTGATATTAGAGTGAATTGACTCATCATAAAACTTTTAGGTAAGAACACTATCTGTGTTTTYTTGTTGGTTATTTATGATGTTTTAATTTTTAAAAAGTTATAACTTTATAAGTATGTAAAGATATTTGAAAATGCACATAATTTACTTAAAAATTATAATATTGTAAATAAGAGAACACTTACGATAATRTTCTTACTTTAAAATTGAATAATATAGGCCAATTTACTCTAATATCAAAACTGAGTATTTTATTGAAAATAGTGAACGAAAAATTGCTATGTCGTATGCGTGTAAGCCGGGACAACACATATGTGGTTCCGACTGTCCTCTTWAGAAGGAATGATACAGCATGAGTTTTAACAAAATAAATCATTAATCACGTATATGTAAATATCATACTAAAATGTATTAACACTTTAACAGGTTGGTAATTCACAAAATTCACGAATAAATCAACTTTTTTTTACTCTATTAACCGTGATTAAAGAGAACTATTGGGATTTGAGCGATATTAATATTAATATTATATTTTATAATAATTCGCGAGTTGCTTGTGTATATTATTTTTCGAAGGAAAAACTATGTTATTCGCGATGATAAAGAATATGTTTAACATTTGTCATTTAAGACACATAAGCTGGAAGGTGACTATTAGTGTACATTGTTGTAGGTATGTAAGTTAATGCTAACATATTACTTATAAYTCATTTTCACATTAGAGATTAGGTGGGACGCGCGAACGCGATCCCCGCTACCAAAAATTACGCGTCCGAGGTATTCGCATTAGGAATACTCGCAGGGGTCAACCAGCCCGGTGTGCAATGGGCAAGTCTCGTCCTGGAGGAACCGCCTCGTTGATCACGGTTAACCTCGACGCCAAGTAAGTATGCCGCGCGGGTGCCCGGACGCCGTACTTATAACGGCCGGCTTCCGCGAGACCATTGCGGAAGTATATGATACACCGGCGACAACGCCGTGCACGGCCAACGACTTCCGGTCCTGTAACTGCCTCCCAGAACGCGTTCCCTCCGCCATGCCGCGGTGGCCAAACTCCGGCCACGCTTYGTGCACCTTTTTCGCGGCCGGAACGCTGGCCACGGTCCGTTGGCCGTCCGCATCTCAAAACGATGGTGTTCGTTGGCGCCATCTACCGGCCGTAATAAGCGAGTCTTGGACGGCTGCCGATCGACCACAGGTCTCGCTACGCGTCTCCGCTTAATCGTTGTGAACGTTTTCGACAAGATTAAAATTTGTTCATTGTAATTATTTTAGTTTATTGATATACATATAAACATATATTATAATTTTTAATTTTATAACTCATTAGTAGACATCAGTAAAAGTGATTGACGACTTATTTTTGTTGTTATATAAGTAATTGTGTAATTGATGTGCTTACTTGCAAACTTGCAAAGATAAGTCCACTTTTTAAAATATTTTTAGGAACATCTTTTTGACACTATAAAAGGTTTGGTTTTTTTTTTTATTGAAAATTTGAAAATATTTTATCTTGGTATTTACAACATTGAATTATATTAATTAAACTTCCATACTGGATACATATGTAATATTATTTATTATCTATGAACACTAATCAMATTTATGAAAATCCAATGACTTATCTTATTTGCTTGTTTATACAATTACCTATATTATTTTTATTTTTCATGAAAATATTTGATATTAACTAAGCTGTAGAATGTATACATACTTCTTAATACTTTTATAATTATTTATTAGTWATTACCTTTTTTTAAACGTGACAATTATATGCACCAAACATCAGATATGTTGGAACTTATACGGTTGCTGTATGAAAAATATAAAAATCTTGAAAACTATAACAAGTTGTTATTAACAACTATTACTATATATTATTATTATAGTACTACAGTATATTATCGATGTAGTGTAATAGTAATACTGGCTTCATACCACTAATCTGGCTGTTATATTTACTTGTAAGGAATTTTTATCTTTGTTTTAACCRTTGAATAGTAGACTTGTTTGGTTTTTTCAATCAATGGCAAATCAATGGGAGTGACATGATGGGCAGTTGTAGAACTGTAGCTCTTGAGAGCTATTTTTTTAAATAAACTTTATGTTTAAATAAAGTGCTACAAATTTGAGGTAATTTTATACCTTAAATCAAGGCTGATATTTAATAAATTCTCTTAAAAATACAATAATATTGACAAGGATTGTGTTAGGTACCTATAGTTCTACCTCTATCCCTACCTACCAAGAAGATCTTTGCTTGACTGCAGTTTTTCCATTATGGGTTATCAGAAAGTTATATTCACATTGCATTTGTAAATGTATTGCAAATTTGCGAGTATTAAAGTGATGTAGTACGGCAAAATTGTATATTTGAAGACAAAAGATAGGTTGTATAATATTATTAATATTATCAAAAAGTAGTAAAGTATTATAATAATTATAGAAAATTTTCCGAGTAGGTAAGTTGGTACTTCCTATATTATGAAACTGAAAATATTTACAAAGATCAAGATGCATGGAATTTAACTCTGGATTTCAATTACATATTTGATATAGTAGGTACATAATTTATTTATAATAATTACTCAAAATAACAATTGTATTGACTGTGAAGAATAAACTAATTATTTAAAATATAATATTATATATTTATATTACGATGTACCATAATACGTCAGTAATTTSATTTGATTTCATTTTAACAGTTCAACTTTCATAAAATAACGAATACTTATTATTGTTTGCGTACAATGAAACATGAAAGTAGGTTTGTATGTTATTAGAAAACATTTTGCATAAACACTGTGGTTCACTATGATGCCGCTAGATGGCTAMACAAGACACAACGTACGCTGTATACGTGTATCAACTATCGAAACAATACGATGTTTACCGCGAAATCCGACGGAGGACGGAGAAAATCATATTCAAAATCGATTATAACATTTAAAGTTTAAAGATATAATAAAATATTATTTTAATAATTTTTAGTATCGTTAATAATAATACACATCACCGTGTASCCATTACATTTAAACATTGCAATATTAATTTATTATTATGCTTGGTACTCTATACAAACATCGCGAACGGCATGAGCAGTGCTTCTGGCGGATTACGYAGTTTTAATTATAAAATCAGTTTCGAACTGGTCGCAAACCACCGTTGTAAATCGCGTACTCGGATATTACATGAAAATAATATTTTATTCAATTGGTCTGATATTTTTGAGTGTTAAGTCGGGTATTTATTGCGAGTACGATAAACAAGAGTCGTTTTGGAGCGGATTTCCTAGTCTCAAYAGTCGGCCGTCAGATGGCGCGCCCTCCGACGATTGTTTGTAACTGGCCGGCGACCGTCGCACGTCGGCCCGGATTTGAAAATTCTGGACCTTGGAAATGGTGTTGCTCAAAAATTTAGAAGCTTTGGTTCTGTCATTAGAAGTGCTAGAAACTGTTTCTAGTGTTGTGGTCATAGTTACGGTGCGGGAACGCGCGACGGAAAATTTGGTGCGCTGCTTATGTTATCTGGRCCTTGGATGGCATATAAACCCTGCCGACGCGCCGAACGAGCATACTTACCTGGCGTGGAGGTCAACCGTGATCAATCAGGCGGTTCCTCCAGGGTGAGGCCCGATCATTGCACATCGATTGGGTTGACCCCTGCGAGTATCCCTAATGTGGATACCTCGGACGCATAATTTTTGGTAGCTGGGACTGCGTTCGCGCCGTCCCTTACATTAAATGAGAAGTTTTACATTTAGGATAATAACAAATTTACTTGGTTAGTGTTTGGAAGACTGTCTGACAACTAACGAACCCATACGATACACGGTTATTAGTTGCTAAGTAAACGTGAAGTAGTTACTCATTACTGCGTTAGTAATGTTTATCGTTATAAATTTCATTGAGTAACTCGTTATCTATYTCGAGTATTTTTTATTCCATGCGAGTTTTTTACACATCGTATAATAATATTAATGTACTTAATASTTATTGATATAAATCTAACCTGGATCGAATTTATTCAAAAAAACTACCCATATTTATATTTTTTGATGGTTCGTATATCGGGAGTATTTAAATTTTGGATTGTATATAGACAAATACTTCACTGTTGTTTTACAACATGTATTCTATTCTTAAAGTTATTATGGGCGTACCGTGTATGTTATATTGAAAAAAAAGTGTTCACAAAATGTTTTGTTCTCATTTTAAAAACATGTACGTTGGTCTTTCAGTTAATCTTTGTAAGACGTAAGTATATTATTGTGTGTTATTTATTTTAAAAACAAAACATTATAAATTATAATAATATTATACTGTCTTTACATAGGCACTATAATGTACTATAGAATTTTTTTTTTTTATTCATGGTACAGCTTCAACTGCTAAGGTTATTAGTACATAGTA